AGTTCTGTGGGCATGGCTGGGTGGGGGGGCATATAACTGAGTGGGTGTGGCCAACTTGACATTACTCACGCCCATGCCCACTCACACAGGACACCCCCCCTACCAAACCATGCCCACAGGAAAAGGTAGGATTTTGGGGGGAATTTCTATCTATCTACCCCCACCTTTCCTTCGACAGTCACCCTTGTTTCCCCTCCTTTAGTGACCCTGGCCCTAGCTCTGCTTCCTCCTCCATCACTGCCTCTTTGTTTGGGCTGCTTACCTTCCGTGATGGCTGTTCCACAACCACAAAGCGGCTCTCAAAGAGGCGACGGCTGGCCGCAAGCCGCCAAGAAGTACCAGAGGTTGCCGAAAAAGCAGCTGCCATCACCACCATGTTCTTTGCGAATATGCATCTCATTGCCTTGGAAATCTGGCTTGTGGTGCCTTAGCTGGGAATACAAAATTTAGTGTTATAATAATAATTATAGGTATTACAATTGCAAAAAGCATTCCCAAGAAGTAGAAGACGAGGTAAAGCCAATAAAAAAGCAGAAACAATTTCCAGAAGTCAGATGGAGAGGTGTTATCTGTGTTAAGGTCTTCCAGGGGAAACAATTTCATAATGGGTGTTGCCTGTCTGAAAAAGCCTTTCTTGTCTGCATCCTTGATTCTGAACTGAGTATGAAATGGTGGTTCTTTCTATAATGTGTAATGATCTCCTTTGTTTTATTCATATTTAGAACCAGGTTACTTTTATTGCACCAAACCACCAGAGCCTTCACCTCTTCCCTACAAGCATCTTCATTGTCATCCCAGATAAAACACACCACTGCCGTGTCCGCATACTTCACAATCTGATTTGTATTAGATATGGGACACCAGTCGTGGGTCATCAAGGTGAACAATAATAGACTTAAAACACAGCCCTGTGGGGAATCTGCACTCAAGGAGATGGAGATGGAAACTTTTCTTCCAACTGGCACAAACTGGGGACTATCAATAAGGAAATCAAGTATCTAGTTACATAAAGGGCAGAGGTGGTATTCAGCAGGACCTGGCCAGTTCTGGAGAACCAATAATGGAAATTTTGAGTAGTTCAGAGAACCGGTAAATACTACTGACTGGCTCCACTCCCATCTATTCGCAGCCTCTCAAATCCCAGCGGATTGGGAAGAAATCGAGGCTTTTCAGTATCCTTCCCCTGCCATGACCACTGTTTGTTGGAGTAACTTTGCTTTTCTCCTGTTTGCAAACATTGCAGTTTATATATTTTCCGCATAGTTTTAGTTTTACTCCTTCTGCTAACTTTACAGTTTGTTGCAGCATCTTGAAATTAATGTGCCCCATGCTTCTATATAGTAAATGTATGCATTCGTCACGGAGTTTAACATTATGATAAGCTGTGTTAGCCATCTGGCCATCCAGTATAACATACAAACTGTTTTTTAANTCAAGCAGGGCGAGGTGCTGAACTCTCTCTGTATATAGTTAACTGTTGCTGTTACTCAATAAATAGCTGTTCGCTTACCTCAGCTGCCTCACGCCTCATTGGTTCCTTCGAACTTCAACACTGGCGGAGAAGGTAGGATGCTGACGGTTTCTGCCTGAACAGCCACTAAAGACAAGGAAGCGAAATTATTATTTTTTCTCTTGAAGAAAACAACTATTTTACCTCATGCCACAACAGCCATGGCTTCGCTTCCGCCACTTGCTCCATTCGGAACCGCCGGCGAGTCTTGAGCTGGGTTCCAGGAACATTTTGAATGCTTTCTGATTGCTAACAATAACCATAACCTGCCCTCTGACTGCACGTGCAGCTTCTTCTTGAGTTTGTGTGGTCCCGAAATGTTTAATACAGCCAGGGCTCTCACTTCACCTTTGGCCGTATATGAACTCAGCTGGGACACAGTAATCACTAAGCTAAAAACCCACTATGCTCTGACACCATCAAGGATCACCTGGTGATATGCATTCCAACAGTGCGTTCAGAAAGACTCCGAGACTGTGAGCCGGTTCTTACAGTCTCTCTGGACGGTGGTGATCCAGTGCGAGTTCATTGAGCTCGCCGACTCTCTCATGGAACAATTTGTCTGCAGAGTTCGAGATCTTGAAACAGAGTCTGTTGGCTAGGGCAGAGATCACATTGCAGCAGGCGGTGGAGGAAGCTAGAACCGCTGCAGTGTCAGAGCAGTCCATGGCTGAGATGCACCGCATCCAGCTGCCACCTCCGCCACCACACAGAACCTGCCTCATCGATGAGCTTGTGCCCCTCGATGAGTTGGATGAGGACCAGGTGGACCGCTTGAGAGATGTGCCCAGATGTCTACTGCTGCAGCTGGCTAGCCGTTCCGCCATCGCCACCTGCTTGGGTTGTGGGGGGTAGCCACACTCGCTCTGCATGCCCCTTTAAAGCTGCTATTCGCCACAGGTGCACAAAAAAGGGGCATTTGGCTCAATTCTACCGTGCTACATTGCCCCTCAACCGGACGCCCAGCTGCAGCTCTACAGCCAGCCGGCACAGCCGTGCTTCCAGCAGCCCCACTGCCAGCAGCAGCAGAAGGATGACTACTTCACCGTCTTCAGGAACCCTCCTGACACCCCTGCGAAGTCAGTCAGCAAGGCATCAGCCAACTCCAAGAAAATTATCACATCCTACTGCTGGAAGGGGTGCCCTGCATCATGGAGGTCGACTCCAGCTCCTCCCGCTCCTTCCTGTCATGGGCCACCTTCTCTCAACTGTGCCCGAACATTGACCGTGACCCGCTGTCTTCACCTGACACTGCCCTTAAAGACTACCAGGGGACTCAAATTCCCACCCTGGGCTGTCATTCTGTGTGGGTAGACTATGGGGCTTTCCACAGTAGTCTTCCCATCCTGATTGTGGAAAAGCCACTGCCTGCCCTGTTAGGGCTTGATTGGTTCCCCTCGCTGGGCCTATCACTCTTGGGGGTGCATCAAACCACGGCTGCCTCCCCTAGCATTGAAGACATCATTGCAGACTTTGCTGACGTCTTCAATGGTAAGCTGGGGGACTACAAAGGGACCCCTATTTCCCTAAATTTGGACCCACAGGTTGCTCCTATCAGGCTGAAGGCTCTCAGGGTGCCTTTTGCCTTGAGGCCAAAGGTTGATGCTGAACTTGACAAATTGTTGGCACAGAACATCCTGGAACCCATCTACCACTCCAAATGGGAGACCCCCATGGGAGGTTCCGGTCTATCAGGATCTGCACTGACTTTAAGTCGACCATCAACCTCAGCCTCTAGGCAAACCCCTATCCAGTA